TGACACACAGAACAACGTAACACATAAAGTAAACAAAGTAACAAATAAACAAATCTAAGATTTTTTATTGGTTGTAATTTTCATGGATACATTTGAATGGTGTGACAATGCCCTATTTGATTTGGTTAAAATGTACATATTCTTCCTGTTATGTCTGCCTGCTTTATTTGACCTCATGCAAAGTGACCTGCTCCATCGAAATCAGTCGCATTGACCCGAAGACACATTTGGATTCCTAGCTTTCTGATGATATCAGGATTGTTTTTGTACTCCAAATATTAAGCTAAATATGTCACATTATATAATGACTGTTACCGAGTCATCATTTTGAGAAAAAGGCCCATCGATCTGATTGATTATTAGCGGAGCAAAGGATAAAAATATTAAGAAGGGAAGATATTTTCGTTTGGATTAGTGGTCTGGGGGAAGCTCGCGAGTGTGTGTACGGGTGTGTGTGTGTTTGTGTAATTTTGCATTTGTGTGTATTGTGTTTCCCGGGGAAAATACTCACAACAAACACCGGCTGTTTTTATGCCTGCTGTGACGTCAAGTTACTCCGTTCTCCGCTTGTAATTATGCCGTTACAAGCTTCAACGTTATATTTATCATCTGAATTTGCCGAAACAAGTTTAAGGTCGCATTCACACCAGCCTTGTATAGTCCGGTTGAATCGAACCCTGGTGCGTTTAGCCGCTTGGTGCGGTTCGTTTGGGTCGGTGTGAAGCAGGTGTGAACACAGTCCGAGACCTCTTAAGTGAACTAAACAACCGGACTCTGGTTCGCCTAAAGGAGGTGGTCTCGGACCACTTGCTTGTGAACTCTGGAGCAGTTCAGCGCTGGTGTGAACGCAGTCCGCACCAAAACATAGGAAGCGTAGTATTTACGAGTCACAAGAACGCGGATGTCTTCAAAATCGTTAGCGAAAGAGTGAAGCAGAATGAAGTGTTGAACAGTGTCAAGTAAAAACAACTATCAAACATAAAAGTATACATAAAAGTCGGAGAACCCCCTCCTTACTGCACAACGTCTCTCATGTGTGTTATAATGTTTTTTAAATCGCACGTTGTCTGATTATATAATCATATGCGCCGTTGCTAGAATCTGTTGGTATGCTCTCCAGATTAACAACAGCATGAAAATAACCTGCCGATGCTCCATTGCGGAGGCTCCGGTAGAAATTGCCGGGATTTGCGTTTTTACCCCCTTAATGTCTGACCAATGGTTGAACAGCATTTCCGAGGACATGACTTGTGTTTAAAGTTTATAGTAGGGATGGGAACGAAATTATTCAGGTTTTCGAATATGAGTTATGAACATTTTTATAGAAATGTGCGTCCGGTTATACTTCACTCGCGTTTATGTCCAAATCCATCAGAAAACCAAGTTATGTTTTAAGCATGAAAGCTGTCGGCCTATAGCTGTCAACTGTTCAAACTGTGATCACCAGTTCAAGACATTTGACAAATTCGACTTGGTTTCTATACTTATTTGAACATGTATTTATTTATTTTTCAAAATTATTGTTATTTCTTTTTTTTTTTAATATAGGATATGTACATTTTGGTTAATCGGTTAACCGTTTTTTTGGGGGTCGAATATACATTTGCTTTCAAATTCCCATCCCTAATTTAAAGTCCATTTGAATTTTGCCCATGTGAACGCAAACCGAACCTTCTGAAGCGGACTATTAGGTGTGAATGCGTCCTAATATTCTGAAAGCCAAGACTTTGTTTATTTGAAATCAGATGAGAACAAACTGTCACGGGCAGGTTCCGTGACAGTTTGTTTTCAAATCCCAGCGTGGGAGGCGATGAAAACAAACTGTCACGGAACCTGCCGTGTTATCTATGATCACTATACGCCTTAAATTCGTAATTTCAGCCCGAGGGAGGGGAAGCAGCGCTGCGGAACAGCAGAGTGGCGAGTGAGAGCTGTCATCTTCCCTTTACAAGCTTCAAAAAAGTATTTATCGTGTGATTTTGGAAATAAGACTGTTTATTTAAAATCAAACAAAACACCCGAACCCCGAAAAACTATTTTTTTTATGCAAATCCACGTTTATTTTTTAAATGAGCCGTTGCAACTTCCGACTGATTTCGATAGAGCGGGTCACATATGTGGAACAGGGTGATTAGATTTGAGCTGGTTCTTAAATACCTGGAGTCTTTGTCGTCGTCGTGCTCTGTGTCGAGGTCTTTGTTGTCTGTGCTGTCTGGCAGGCCGTTAGCTGATAGTGAGTTGGCCAGAGACAACTTTGGTCGGTTCAGCGGTCGGGGAGTTCCAGGACCGTTCACTTTCCTAGGGAAAACATGCAAAAAGGATAAAAAAATAAACAAAAGTAATATCTCGGATTTCTGTTTATTTAAGGATCAATTACTAAATCTGTCCCAAACCTCTCTGTAAAAGCAGATGTGTTCCCAGGAAGCATCACTCCATTCATTCTGCTGACAGCGCTGCATCCATTTTTCCTGTACAAGCAAATTGAGAACAAACTAAACTCTTAATCCAGTGGAACACATAACAAACTAAATCGGTTTGACTTATTTAGTTCATTCCTAAAAGTGTTACATTTGGAGAACACACTTACTCTGAGGTTGGGTGGACACAGCTTACCACCATTACATTCTATAGGGGAAGAAGAAAGGCCAAAATTAGTTAAAAAAAAAAACACTGACAGCTGGTTAACAACTTGAGGGGACGAGCAGCTTGGGACATACCTTCTCCACTCCCCGGAGAAACTTATCTGTTCCTGTGTAGTTCCTCTTGGGCTCTGTGAGCAGCTCGCACAAGCGCTGGATCGTAAATGGAATTCTACAATTTAAGAAAAAGCAACAGGTTCAATACAAATGATAAAGAAATTAGTCATTTAGGGTTTTTTTCAGGGTGTGCCTAACTTTCTGTTTCATCTGTTTATACTATCACTGAGAATTGTCTCTGTAAAACATATGATTGTAGATAACAACAATAACTGTCTGTGATTATATTGACAGTTAAAAAACTAAAAGGTGCGTTTAGGATTCTGTACAGGGTTTTGTCTAAACCGGGGGGCAGTCTTACTTTCGACGTGCGCCCTCATACCAAAAAAATGCAGATTTGTCCAGTAACGTTTTAATGTGATGCCAGAAAAAAATAATTTTGTTTGCAAAGAACTGTATAATAACTCCCAAAATATGAAAGTCGTGTCGATTTGAGCTCCGACGTCGCATTGTTGTCTACGTCCGCGGCGCCATCTTGTGTATGGGCGTCATGTTCTCGCGAGAATGTATCTTATATACAAGATAAGCGCGACAGGATTGCCCGCATACTATATTTTTCCAGAAAAATCCCTCCTGTAGAACCATTTCACAAATCATGCTATTATGTTGGTTATCAACAATTGTCCAGAGCCTTCTTTAAATGTTTTGTTTTGACCAGCCGAAACATTTTTTTTTACTTTTTTGAATTAAAAGAATAACTTAAGGTTATCAATCGATTATCAAAATGGTTTGCCGGGCAACCTTTTATAATTTGCCTATTTTTTAAATTACAATTGTTTTGGCTCCGATAGAAATGTCATTTTAGGGTGCATTCACACCTAATAGTCCGCTCTCAGGTGCGCACCAGACCACAGTTTGTTACATTGTTTCATTTTTCAGAAGGTTC